CCCCTCCCCTCCTGCCCCCTCACCGAGGCAGAGCAGGGCCGCGAGGGTGGGGGTCATGGTGTCTTCTCCCTCTGGCTCAGCTGTGCAGGGGGAGGGGACCACGGCGCCCCAGGAAGGACAGACAGACGCACAGGGTGGTCCCTAGGAGGGGTCCTGCTGTCGGGGGGTTGTCAGGTCAGCAGCCCGCGGGCGGGAGCAGCCTCTGCAGGCGCCGGGCTGTTGTCCCCGATGCAGCAGGAACAGGCCGGGGCCTCCTGAGACGCCCCTTCCCGGGGGCCCAGGGCCCGTCCTTCCCTGTCAGAGCCCCCCCGGGCCCTCCGCACCCTCAGCCCCGCCACCCGCCCCTCCCCGTGGGCTCCTCACCTCGGACAGTGCCACCCGGGCCCTGGAGAAGCTTCGGGAAGACGCGGGTCCCTGTGGCCCGCGGGGCTCAGGTCAGCGGGGACTCGTTCACCCTGTCACCCTGCAGTTGAGGGCGAGGGTCCCTGTGACACTGAGCTCAGAGGGGAAATGCGGGAAATAGGGGAAGGAAACCTGTGCCTTCCATGGCCCAGGGTGTGGCTTTCTTGCTGTGACGCCCCCGCCATCACTTCTCCTTTTCTTTGCCACCACAGCCTCCCCAGCTCCCTGGGAATAAGACTGTCTCGTTGCTGCCTCCCTGGCACCGCTTGTTCCTTAAGCAGAGCTGTCCCCTCATCTGTCACCCTCTTCAGCCTTGACTTGGGGACGGAGGTGATACTTGAATACTTGGCTCTCACCCAGTGTGTGACCTTGAGCAGCCACATCCGACCTCGGAGGCTCGGGATCCTCGCGTGTGGCACAGTCGTGAACCCCGGTCCTCAGGCTGCTGTGGGGCCTGGGACGCGGGAGGGGTCCCCCTTGCAAACTGTAGACCTGATTACCTGTGTGGGATGGGACACCAGAGGACCAGCGGCAGAAGGAACGACGGATGCGTCCAGCAAGAGCCCTCGTCTCTTCTTCATGCCGAGAAATGCGGTTTGTGGCGTTTCTGAACCCCGCAGCCAGTCGGTGCTGAGGAAAGGAAATGGGAGCGCTCGGAGGCCCAGGGACCCGCGGCCACCGCGGGGGTCGGCGGGGGTGG